ACTTATTTTCTAACTAGAAGTTGTACCTCTTAATCCTCCCCTACACTTCTACAGGCCATCCCCCAAGGGCAACCAGTTTGTTCTCTGTATCTATGGGTCTATTACTATTTATATGTACTTTTGTTTCTTAGATTCCACATGTAAGTGAAATCATATGGTATTTGTCTTTCTCTGTCTGTCTTATTTCACTTAGCATAATACCTCTAGGTCGATCCATATAGTCACAAATGGCAAGATCTTATCCTTTTTTATGGCTGAATAATATTCCTTGTGTATTTTTATATGCACAAATGTCTACATATACATACCTATAATGCAGACACACACACACCTTATTTAAAAATCTAGCACGTTTTATCTTCCTAATCTATAGTCAAAATCATTCCCCAAAAGAACAAACTTAAGAAAAAAAAAATCAGTTTAAGTTAGTCTTTGGGGCTTAAAACTAAGTCAACCTTGTTACACAAATAAGTAGCATAGTTGTTTTTCTAATTATGTCATTTTATAAATATTTGTCAAGCGAATTTGGATAAAGTCTTAAAACACTTAAGAAAAAAGTCTGGAGCAGCATTTATTAAATCAGCAAGAACCTATCTGTCTGACTTTAAGAATTACAACAAGTCCACAGGAAAGAAGAAATTTTAAAAGTATATATTTAGAGCATGACTGCCCAAACAACAAGGTATCAATAAAGTTGTTAAAATGATAAGAAATGTGGGGTACCTGGGTGGCTCAGTTGGTTAAGCCTGTGCCTTAGGCTCAGATCATGATCCCAGGGTCCTAGTTAAGTCCCCCATCCCTGCTCCCTTCTCAGCGGGAAGCCAGCTTCTTCTCCTCCTTCTGACCCTCCCCACCCCACATTCTCTAGTGCACACATATGTGCTCATGCACACTCTCTCTCTCAAATAAATAAAATTTTTAAAAATAAATAAAATGACAAGAAATATAAACTGAAAATTTAGGAGCTGGACAACCCAAAGCAGGTGGATAGAGAATCATACAGTAAGTGCCTAGTAAAAAGTGAAAGCTGATTTATATAGCTCATTTTTAAAGATGCCTCCTAACAGAGATGCCCCAAAACAGATTAGAGTCCATCTTTAAGGGGTGCCTGGGTGGCTTAGCCAGTTAAGCATCTACCTTTGGCTGAGGTCATGATCCCAGGGTCTTGGAATCCAGCCCCACTTCAAGGTCCCTGCCTCACTGGGAGCCTGCCTCATTCCTCTCCCTCTGCTCTTCCCCACCCCCTTGTTCTCTTCTCTTTCTCACTCTCTTAAATTCTTAAAAAAAAAAAAAAAAAAAATTCCATCTTTAAGAGTTCAGCAAGGCATCAACTTATTACATGTAATTTTCATTGTGATGGAGCTTACTTTTAACATGCACAAAAGTTATTCCCTTAACCACTCAAAACAGGAAAGAGGAGAGGTTTGGTTCAAGGAGACTTTGAAGATTATAAATGAAAACAGAGAAAGAAATACCTTATGACTATGCCAGTTTGTACCTTCTTCTGAAACCTTGCTTTGACTACCTGGTCAATTTTAATATTCCCTTTTTAAAAAAGATTTAATTTATTTATTAGAGAGAGAGAACATGAGCAGCAGAGAGGGAGAAGAACATGAGCAAAGGGAGAGGGAGAAGCAGGCTCCCTGTTGAGGGACCCTGGAATCATGATCTGAGCTGAAGGCAAATAGACCGACAGCCATCCAGGAACCCCTCAACTTTAATATTCTTACTTCATCTTTGCTTTCTAAAATACTACGACTGATCACTCTAAAGTAATTAGCATTGCTTCCTTAAAATTCTTCTCAGTTTCCATACTGTTACACTCTATTGCTGGATTTCTTCCTATCCTGTCCATTCTTTCGCAGGCTGCACTTTTCTCCACTCTAGATTTAAATATGCATTCTCCAGCACTTTGTCCTATCTAGGCCCTCTGCTATCTTACAACTTACGGACCTCCCTCAGTGGCTACATCCATACTCACAGATTTAGTTCCATGTATTCCAAATCCACAGACATACACTTAACTACTGGGCATCATCAGATCTTATGTGATCTCTTTAATATGTCAGGAATCTCTCCTCTCCATTCCCACTGTCATTACCTTGATTTAGGTTCTAACCCCCTCTCTCTCAGACACAGCAATGAATCATCTATCCCTTCACTAGTCTCACCACTACACCAAGCTGGGTCTTGCTAATAAAGTAAACTTTCTAAAATTGAAACGTGATCGTGCTGCTCCTCTGACAAAAATTATTGAATAGGTTTCTATGACTTTCAGGAAAAAGCTCAAACTGGCTTACACAGAAAGTTCCTACCAATATCTCTAAACACTATCTCTACTACACTCATCCTTTGGCTTCAGCCTGAAAACAGGCATCCTGTGTAACCTCTCCGTGTGTCTGCATATCATGTAAACCTAATCAGGGTATTCCCCAATAAACCCTGAATAACTAATTCTGACCTAAAGTATTACTACATTCAGGAAATCTCCCCTTTAGTCATAGGCTGATTTAGAAGCTGCTCTCTATGCTCACATAAAATTTTCCTCCTAAGTCACTTCCACATTAGTCACATTCATGCTTAGGTCTTCTCCATTAGACTATTAACAGTCCCCAGGGAAACAGCACTTAGTATTCTTTGTACCTGACATACAAAAACATTCAACAATTGCTGTTTGAAGGAATAAATGGGGATTATATAGAAATTTATATTATGGTGAAGTTATTCTAATGCTAATGAACTTGTTCCTTTCATTAGAATAGTCAGTGGGCAAATCCTCTGCTGTCATTGAAAAAGCGATGAAAATTTTTCATTTTCTAACAGATCCACAGTGACCAAAAACACTTACCACCTCATTTCTTACTATCTATGAATCAAAAACTGATTTTGAAACTAAATATATTTTTAAAGGCACAGGTTTGTCCTTTGTGAAAAAGGAAGAGCAAATGACATAATAAAACTAGATTATTTTAAATAATCCAAACTCCTTCCAATCAGTTAACTTCTGGTTCCTCCATTATCATCTCTTCCAAATAAAACTCCCCCCACCACCCATCCCCGCTTTCTTTAATTCATTGAACCTTAGAGCAACTGTGTGTGTTTGGGGCTCCCATTGATAAAGGAGGGGGATGGAGAAGGGTGGTAAGGCAGTTGAGTTTCCATTCTTCTTATCAAGAAAATCTACTCTACATTTCACTTCCACATCTACTCTAATCACATCCAAGTCCAATGAGATGCTTAGAAAAAGGTCCTCAACAATCATGTCCACTCTCTTTTCCATACGGTTGATGTCAAGCCAAATTAGTCTGATTTAAAATGTCCCAAAAGGGAAGTGAACTAGAGTAAACTGCATGGAATTTTGAGGAGCTGAAGATTACAATGAGTTCTATGAGGTCAATGACCCAAAGGGTAACTGAAAGGATTCTGTCCAGAAACACCTACTTCCTCTCACTCTGACCTCCAACCTTCCTTTTGTCCACCCACTGCCAGCACAACCACAGGAAAGGCATCAAGTTGTAATAATGAATACTGACATTAAATGCCAAAAAGTTATACACTGTGCACTGAACATCTCAAAATATTTCTCTAAACAATCTGCATTTGTGGAATCAAATAACAAAGCAATTTCAGACTGTCATTCATCTCCCATACCAGCAAAACATAACTGGCACAACTCCTATAATGAAGTCACATACTCCTAGCTCACACAACGACCGCAGAATAAGAAGAAGGTAAAAAGTGCAGTCAAGATTGATGATCAGAGTGAGGAAAATGGATATCAAACAATAAAAATAAAATACCTGATTAAGAACCCCAAATTCAATCCATTCTTTACAAAATTACAGAACCTATCTCTCAAAAAGAAAAAAAAAAGGTCAAAGGAGATACATTTATAAACTTGTTCCGCTCTTTTCAGCTACTTCCAAGCACCCAGAACTTTCAAATCTGAGTGTATTTTTTCAAATAAAGATTTCCAGGCTTCACCTGCCAGAAATTCTTTTGTAAATTTGGAATGGAGCCTGGGTATTGGAATGTTTACTTAAAAAGTTCCCCCAAGGACTCTGATCAGCTGCCAGGTTTGTCAGATGTGCTATGGATCTTTTCAAGAAGGGCTCCTGCCAACCCTTACTGACATTCTAGCCGACTGTAAAATTATCGAAGTTCTTCCTATAAATATGCCAAATCAAACAGCACCATGCCACCTCACCTAATCCCTTTGTGTTCTCCCTCACCCCTCGAGTTACTGCCTTATCTTCAGTTCACTCCATGAAACTGCAATCTTCCTTTCCTATCTCCACCTTGTAGTAACCAAGTAATAAGCAGGAGGGTAAAACAAAGGGAAACTATCACTTCAATACCCGGAAATCCTGTCAGTTCTAACATGTGAGAGAAGAAAACCCATTCTAGATCATTCCAACATGTACCCAATTTTAAAGGAAAAAGAACATTTCCAAGGATGGTCCGTGAAGCAGGGTGGAAGGGTAAGTTAGGTAAGACTTCTTGGATCTGAAAAGAATAGCCCAAGGTTCTGAAAGAAGGGAAAACTTTAAAGCCCGGCAGGTCACAGACAGGAGGCAGTGGCGGGGAGCCGGCCGGTGCCGGCACCTTCGGCGGGTTTTGACACTCGACACCCCAGCCTTCACTCAGGTTGCTAAGAAACAAAAAGGCTCCACGTTCCCTGCAATTCCTCCCGGGCCTGGAGGAGAGAGGGGCCTCCGGGGCCTGAAGACACGACCGGGACGAGCCCGGCCACTACCCCGGGGGCGCGAAAGCAAGGGAGGGATACCCGGGGGGCAGGGGGCTCGGGCAGAGGGGCCGGCCCAGGAAGCTGGCCCCGAGCTCGGGAGGAGGGCGCGCCGGAACGCGTCCTCCGCGCTGAGGAGCGCTCGGGCAGGTCACGGTGGGCTCTGCTCCAGCCAGGCCGCAGTCAAGGGTCCGGGGCTGGATGCGGGGCCTAAACGACCACCCGGCTCCGCGCGGGGGAGGACGCGTCTACTCACACGTGCTGACAGGCCGCGGTCCTCACAGGCGTTTTGAGCACCTCCTGACAGACAGGGCAGTAGAAATCATCTTCGGTGTAGGACGTGGCTGCGGAGAGTTCCTCGGCCATGGCGGGGGGTGGGGGATCAAGGAGATGGCGGCAGCGGCGGCGGCGACAGCGGCCGAGCTGGCGGTGTCTGCCCGGGGCCCGACTCTACGCGAACCCGGAGGGGGAGGGGAATCGCGTCAGGAAGCGGCTCGCGCCAGGAAGGGGGCGGGGCGGGGCCGAACGCCGAGACGCTAGGTCCGCACGCGCCGGGCGAGGGCCGGCCCCTGGGGCTGCCCCTCCCGACGGGGGCAGGCCGGGAAGGCGGTGCCAGGCGGGAGGCGGCGGTGGAGAAACCGGCCGGTGGCTTCACTTTCGCTTCCACCCCGGCTCGGAGCAGGCGGGAAGCCGACTCTCCACCCGGGAAGGAAGGCGACCGCCCAGCCGTCCCCAGCCGGCGGCCACCCGCACGGGCAGCTCCCTTACCTGCCTCCACGAGGCGGCCGCGGTTCCGCCCTCGGCGTCTTCTCCGCCTCCGACTCCTTTGCCCCCACCCTCACCCCCACCCCCGGCCCCAGGCCCCAGCCCTAGCCCCAGTCCCAGCCCGCACAGCCCGCCCAGCCCGCACAGCCGTCCCACTGTGGGCCTCTACCCACCCAGTTCGGCGGCTGCCTGCCCCGCCCCACACCGCCTCCGCCCCGCCCCTCCACTCTGCTTGCGTAAAGGCTCACTTAGGTGTCCCGGAGTCGCGCGGCTGAAAGATCTGTTTTCCGGGCACGGTTGGTGGAGAAGTGGCCCTGCGCCGTCTCCGGGCTTCTTGTCCGGCCGCTGCAGCCTTCGCCGCGGAGGCCGGGAGGGGAATGGTGAGCAGAGTGGTCAGTGTTCATCGGCCCGAAAGGGGGCCGGGCCCGAGGCTCATGGTGCACCGGGATCCCACCGCCCCCTCCAGCAGCTCTCCCGCGGCATTGCGCTGCCCGCAGCCAGCCCGGGGTTGTCACCGAACACAAGAGGGCGACGAACAGGGGGACAGAGGAGTGAGGAGAGGGCGGGGTGGGGAGGGCAGCCTCCATAGCAACCGGCGCGTGGCACCCGCAGCAGGTTATGACATAAACCGCTGGGTGCCCACCTGTACCCACCTCCCGCAGTCTCCCTTCAGCGGGATCCCATTTCTCACTGCTTCTATCAAATATATTGGGTTTTTCAGGAATTTTTCCTCAAAAAATACCGTCCGTTAAAGGTATGGATGGATGGTCCTTACTATATGCCCTTGACAGTATGTATGTCAAGATGTGGTACGAAGCCCAAGTAAAACCTGTTATGGGATTTTGATCCTTTGGGGCACAAGAATTAAAAATAAGCTCCCTTGAGAGGGTTTGAACTTTCGCCCTTAACACAGTCTGAGGAGTTACCGTCTCAGATGCAGGCTTCCGCCACCAACACCTTTGCTTTTTGATAGCTTTGAAGAAAAGTGAGGTAGGAGCACGGATCTAAGCATTTCACTAATTAGTTATTCACTGATTTAAATGTTTCTATTTTTTTCAGTGGGCCCTTGCCAGATACATCCACACAAATGATAAATCGGGAAGATAGGGTCACAACCACATGAAAGGAGCCAAGGAATATCTGGAATATCAATTCGCTTCGGAAAAGAAAAAAAAGATTTCAATTCCATGCTTCATTTCCACCACAGTCTCAGTGAATCATAAACAGAAGCCATTGAATCGTTAATTCAATTCTGTCATTTATTGTCTACATTGTCCTTAGAACTGTTAGATGTTATGCTGGTGTCATGAACTTCGTTTTCAACTAGTTTACACTCTGGAGTGCCTAACACTATAAAAGAACAAAAAATGGTATTTGCCAAAGTGTTGCTTTTCATAAACAGTGACTATAATGAGGACAGGAAGTGAGATGATTGCACTGGTATGGGTTTAGAGAAAACCTGATGAAGGAAATAGGTCTTAATGTGCATCTTAAAATGACAATTCCTAGAAAAATACAGAATTGTTTGTCCAATGAACAGCTAATTCCCTTTACCAAACTACAACATTTTGTATTTTTGTTCCCTTTCCTCCCAAGCAAGAATAGTGGAAGCAGACCAGGAAAGCTAACTTTAGCTTCACATTCCCTGGGAGGAGAAAGAGCACTTGACAGGAGGGATATCAGATAGCAGTAGTCTAGGTACTTTTCAAATTCATTTATAAAAATGGTTCTTGGATTTCAAACTTCACCTTTTTCACCTTATGACCAATCATATCTAACTCATTTGACCCCTTTAGAAAGTAAAGTGTATTTTCTGTTGAATAGTGTGTTTCCCTTTACTCACTGGGAATCCTTAACCAGAACTTAATTTCGTGACTTTAATTTTATTTGCTTCATTGTTCCTCTGGCAGCTTTACTCATGCCCTAATCCTAACATGTTTGTGTTACTTCCTTATACATTCTAAGAAGTCATTTTGGGGGTACGTGTAAGCATAGAGTTGTTAGTATGTGGAAATCCATAAAAAATGTGGGTATAACGAAAATGTGGTTACCCTCTGAGTGTTAAGCTTAGACAAATAAACTGTAATGGCCAAAAGACACAATCTGCTGTCTTGGCAGCATTTCCTATGAAAAATTACTTGATATTTTTATGGCAATGTCACAGATTTACTCAGAATCCCTTCAGCTGTGTAAATAAAATATCCTCAGCCTTTGGGTAAAAGGGGGAAAACTCTACATATTATACAACTTGACAAACTTAGTCTGTTGCAATAATTTAATCCATTCCTTTACATTTTGGTTAAAACACTTAAGTTTTTAATATGCCGTCTCTCTCAGTCTCTCTCCTTCTCTCTCAGTCTCTCAGCTCCCCTCAAAATGGCATCTGGAAGGATAAGAGGGAGGACAAGGGGTAGCTGACACAAACTTGAGACACTATTGGAGAATCTCAGTCCTGACATCTGCAAGGTCTCCTTTGAATTCTTGCTGGACTATTCTGAAGAGAGGCTAATGTTGACTCCTCTCTGAGATGCAATGTGCGCTGGCCATTCTGCTGATGGTACCTGCTAGTAAAGACTACTCCTGCCTGCCTCAGCTGGGTCAAGGCCCTGGTTGATTCAGGATTCAGCTTCACCAACACTATAGAACCCTATGAATCTCTCCGGCAGTCATCTTCTAGTTCTTGGTCCTCAATATGGAAGGTCCCTCTTGCTCTGCTCTGAACACACCTACTGTCTATGGCATCCTTTGGGGCCCTCTACACACTCAGTCTGGGAGGGAGAGTCATTCCTTCTAAACATCCCATGTCACTGAATTTGCATGAAGTGGTGACCCCTAGTTTGGTTCTACATGACGTATAAGGCAATGTGCTTTCTGCTCCCCAGCCCTCACCACTCCCCTCAACCTAATACACCTTTCCCCTATTCCACCTCTCCTTTCCAACCACAATCCCTTGGCCTGGAAAGAATGGACCATTCTACCTTGCTGCTTCTGCTGATTACCAGTAATGCTCCCTTGCAAAACTCTTTAGCCAAGTCCATATGGCCAGGTAATTAACATACTAAAAGAGGAGCTGGATGAATTTAGAAAATTAATTTCTTTCTTCACAAAGCCTGGCTTTGTCTTACTACAGGGCCTCAGAAGTCTGTTTTGCTGGTGAAAGTGGTTGCTTGCCTTTAAAGAAGTGACTGGGAAGCTGGGGATGGAGGGGGAGGGAGGCTCGTTTCTCTGTCTATCCTTTGGTATCTTTTTAATTGGTACCATGTGCAGTGTCGACTTTCAGCTGGTTTGCACCAGCATAGCTCTGTGAGTCCTTTTCAGCTTGCCTATTCTGGTTGGGCAATAGTCTGTCCTGGTTGGCCAGTGCCCATTTAGTTCCAGTTGTTAAATATTCTTAACATTAATCCTGACCATGTACATAAATAATCTATTTGCTGAAGGCATATAACTTAATTGTTTAAGCCTGTTTTGGAAATGTTCTTTTAAAAAAAACATTCTTTACATTACTGATGAATTAATCCTAATTTCTTCTTTTCCCCACCTCACCCCAACACACACACACAGGCCGATGGATGCCTCAGGCTGAGTAGGAAGGAGGTCAAGTGAATAAAACTGTGAAAGGGAAACCATACAGGGCACAATGTTCCCATCAACAAACATTTTATAAACCCTGTTCCCATCCCCCACTCTAATAAATCATGATTTTTGTTCAGTTTTCTTTTCTTTTTTTCTTTTCTTTCCTTTTCTTTTTTTTTTTTTTTTTTTTTCCTGGCTATGTCCTTTAGGAGGACATTCTCAGCTCAAGGGGAACTACCATGATTGAGAGAAACCAGTTTGAATGGGTCATGTCTTCTTGCCAGTAGTTTAAGCTGGGTATATGATTCAATTATGACCAAGGATGTGTGAGGAGAATTCTTCTGAAGGCCTTCAGCAAGTGCCTTTCTTCCCTGATTTAAAAAAAACAAACAGGAATAAACACTTCCATGCTACATATGAATGTTTTCTTGATCATCTGTGCTGCCTGGGACTCTGCAACCATCCTGAAACCATGAAAAGAACAAGCCAAAGAATAAGCCAATATGCTGATCGTGGTGGAGTGAAAGATAGAAGGAATGCAGGACCTTAATGTAGTTGAACCATTCTAATAATCTAATTAACCTTGAAACTGTCCTACCTACTCTTAAGCCTTTCTATTCAAAACCGGTCCCAGTCGGCTCTTTCGCTACTTGTAGCTCAAAGTATCTGAGCCAGAAATTTTGGGGTTGACTATCAGATCTGTTTCCCTCCCTGTCACCTGTTCTGGCGTGTATTGCTGGAGCTAACCGTTACAGACAGCTTCCCGTTTCCCCTTGCCAACTGACTTCTGTCTATATTCAGCCAATGTCAGGTACTGGTGAGACACTAGAAGGAAGAAGCCAAGGCATTTTTCCCTCCCTCTCTCTGCTCCTGGCTGTGTCTTCATTTCTTCCATGTTTTCAACCTCTGGAAGACCACCCTTCCCTTTCAGGTCCTGGAGCCTGCTGGGTCATCCCTGCTTTTTCTCAGTGGCTTCTGTGTTTGCCTTGCTGTCACACATGGTCTTTCAGCTTTCCTGACATCTTTGTAATTGTTTTCCATATTAAACATCCTCTTTTGAACTACTTACTGAGAGCTCTGTTTCCTGATTGGACCTCAGTGGACTTTCCTAACAGAATCAACACTTTAGGAGGAGATAGGAAGGCAAAGGAGGATGAAACACTGCATAAGTGGCTCCTTTTCCCCCACAGAGAAGGAACCAAGTTACTCGTCATTGTGAGTTTAAATCCTCTCCTCATAATCCTACAAATTAACACAAACAGAAATTCAAAAGTGAGATTAATAATATCAAGTATGGAAAATAAGGGAATTTACCCATTTTTAGTCCACCACAGTTTGGGACGGTTACATTTCAAATCTTTAATAAATGTCACTATGAATATGCATTTTTCATGCTATTTAATAACATTTAATTTCCTATCAGCAGTATTTTACATACTATTGGACAGCTATCATTTTTTTAAAGATTTTAT